GTGTGGGTGTTGGTGGGATGCGGATGTGGGAGAAGAGATAACTTCAACACTCACACCCACATCCACACCTCGCACCCATCCTCGCTATCCACCATTGTTGAATTCCTTGCATTTCCTTCAGTTTCCTTCAATTTCTAGAATTTCTAGAATTGCTTGATTTCGTTGAATTCCAGCATACTTTGGACTTATAACTCCCCTTGTTATCTACGTTTGTTGAATTTCGGGAATTTCTTGAATTGCTTGATTTGCTTGAATTTTCTGAAGTCGATCATAGTTTACACTGTCAAGTCTGTGTTATGTATTTTTGTTGAATTCCGTGAATTTCTTTGAATTGCGAATTTCTGGATCTTGGTTATATCTCTCGAAATAGCTTATTTTGTTCAACTTTTAATTCTCCATCTTCTGACATATAACATGAAACAGTTCAGTGATCTGCTCAAGCACAATCTATCATAAGTTTGATAGAGTATCTTTAGGTGTTCTTTTATTAAAGTCATGACAGTGATAAGAGTCGGTCTTGCCTAACTTTTCAAAGGAAGGGTATTAGAAGCTAAAACTATGGGGTTGGAGGTTTTGAACATTGAAGCGCTCGATGAGAAAACAAAAGCAGCTTTTTGGTTGAGTGTCTCCTATATTGGGACGATGCTCGATGATGTGGCGAATCCTCTCTTAATATTCAGCATTCGGGATACGAGTTCGCGTGCAGTCGACTCATTCGAATCACCAGTCTATACGATTGTAGATTGGTCTTGTTAATCGCCTCGGCGTTATTAATTTGATCCAATTACAAGCTCTTACTAGCATACTTTTGAACTTGATACGGAGTAACCTCTCATGAACAGTCACTTAGTTGTTCGAGCACTTGTTCCTCTGTTATTGATGGCTCTGTATTGCAATAATCATGAAATTCCATGAATGGACCTGTTTGATCGGTTGAGTCGATAGTTCCTGAAAACGATCACGAACTGATTTCACAATTTTGCGTGACACATCGCTATTCATTGGTGATCGATCCGAGCAAGAAATTAGAAAAACATCGTGTATTTCACCATGATCATGGGTAAAACTGGTAGAAGCCCCAACAGCATCCTGGAAAAAAGCCATGCCGAATAATACGCACAATCCATGAATCATGGTGCATGTGCATGTTATCAGAACACAAGCGTATGGCTCTATTCTTTAGTTGTTAGTACATGAAAAGCTGCTTCTATCAAATACTTGATACTTGATGTTGAGAGACTTGAGGAATTTCTCGATCAAGTCTATTAATTTGATGTGAGTCTATTGAGTTTCTTCCAGTGTGGAACTATTCGCCTTATCACTAGCTACAGTAGACAGATGCATGCAATGGCATTCAGCACACCCTTATCGGCAGTCAATTCTTGGTCATCGTCTATTCTTCGTTGTTCATTAGAATCGTCAAAAACTCAGACACAAGAGAAAAACAGTTTAATTGGACAGCTAATCTGCAAAATATATTTCTCTTGATTAAGCATAAAATATCAATTTGAGCGATTCCACATGAACTCAACTACGTCATGCCGAAGTGATGACTAATTTCGATGAATATTTCAGGGTTTGTAGAGTTAGAAATTCTAAGAATATCGATAAAAAATTTTTTTTTTCAAAAGCTTTCGTTTTGATCGAGATAAATCCAAAATACTGGAAATAGAACAAATCGATGTACACTGAAAAAGTCGTTTTTTTGAAAAATTGCTCATAAATAGTTTTCAACATATTTCTACTCTAAAGCAAGGTTGAAAATAAAATCCGAGGACATATCCAGATTTCTCATAAAAAGGCGCATCTAACCATGCTAAATACCATCATAACTTAGAAAAAAGCGGACTGTAAAATATAACGTCAATGAAATCCCATCGCACAAAAACTAGTGCTATTCAGAGCATTCTTGTGCTCAAGATTTTTCAAAAAAGCTGAATTGCTCGAAATGGTCGCATACTGTATTCGATAGAGCTTGTGACTTGCGCTACAATCATGGCCATATAAAAACGAGTACTATTCAAATAATTCTTACCTCTTTGACATATTGAAAAGAGTGAATGGGCTCTAGATATTGATATGGTGTCTGTTAGTGTTTTAAATGCTCTACATTCATGATAGTGCAGAATTACCAACATTATTAATTCATAGAGGTCCTCCACGTAAACCACGAGGAACAGTGCTCAAAAGATATCTTACGATTTTGCCCTAATTGGCAGCTTATACCTCTTCATTAGAAAATGATAGAAGTCTGAAATTTTTTTGAAGACAGATCTCGATGAGATCTCATTGCATTGAAAAATTCAGCTTTCTAAAGCAAACTGTTCGTTCAGGTGCTTCAGACAAAATCCTTTTTCCGTCAAAAGATCGAATTTGGAGCTCGATTTTTTGGAAAAATAAACCTGACCCTTTTGCCGAAGTTATTCATGATTAAAGATTAATCTGTGATCTACAACATGGCTTCAAAATCAACTTCGAACATCTAGGAGCGGCTTTAAAATAAATTCGTCGTTTTGGGCTGAGATCGACAGAAAATTGGGGTCCAGTATTTGCCATCTGAGAACACAAACAGTGATGTAACATAGTCGAACTAATTCTATCTGTGTAGTTTTGAATAAAAAACTTCATGGTAGTACTCGTCAGTTGCACTCTCACTGTGAGTTCGACATAAAATTAATGAAATACACTCCAGACGAAAAAGTAGCTATTGAAACACTGTTCAGTGGCGGTAACGACGTCTCACAGCACCAAAGAACTTTTTTACTGCCGTTATTTGTATTTAAGTGTGATGGAGTCATTTTTTCATAGACACTGCATGGTTTCCCGAATTTGTTTGATTGGGTTCCAGGACCCTAAACCAGATTTTCCAGAAAAACAGAAAGAAAAAGAACTAAAACTCAAAATTTTGAACGCAGACATAATTCATCTGAAAGAGCATAGTGAAACACATCTTGTCCTGAATTTTTATCCAATTAGAATCTTGTGGAATGAAATAAGGACTCGTTCAATATCGCCACTACTGGCGATTTCATTTTACTGACAGATCGTTACCATGAGATCCGAACAATATTGTTCGAGAAGACTTTGATTGGATGAAAATTAAGGATGATAGGTTCTCCACTATTCTCTTTCGGATTGACCAGGTCTGCGTTCAAAATGTTAAGCTTTATTCTTTTTTTCTCGTTTTTCTGGAAAGTCTGACTTGGGATCCTGGAACTCAATAGAAACAATTCGGAAAAATCTCCGCCATCTATGAAAAACTCTTATTATCGTATTCAGACATAGTAAATTATATTTTAAATGTTCTTTTGCGCTCTGCAATGCCGTTATCACCAGACACCCGTCTTTTAGTAGCCTAATCTTCATCTGCAATGTATTACGTAGCGATATTGTCAGATTCCGTGTCAGATTGGCATGCACGAGTAGTACGATGTTGCTTCTCGTACGAAACTCCATAGAGACTCTCAAACTGAAAATTTCTTATCACTAGTTTTCTTCTCAGTTGTGAACTACCCAACTTAATTTGTCCCACTCTGATCCCAAAAAAATGAAACTATTTTAAAAGCGTCTCTATGTGTTCTAAATTGATTCCTACGCCACGTTGTAGAGCACAGCTTGGACTTTAACGATGGATAACTTCAGCCAAAAGGTGCGGTTAGTTTTTCGAGAAAATCGAGCTGTAAAATCGAAGTTTTGACAAAAAAGCCGTTTTGCGTAAGACATATCGAGCGATCGGTTCTCTCGAAGAAGCCGAAATTTTCACTGCAATGAAATCTCATTGAGGTATGCCTTTAAAAAAGATTTCAGATCTCTATCTTTTTCTAGCACAGATATATGAACTCCCAAGCTAGACCAAAATAGTGATTTTTCCTCCAATAGTGAAATCCAAAAGATACCAAGGACTCAGTCGTCGGACCTGGAATTTCTTTTATGGGCAGAACTTATTAATGTATCGATCTGCAACAAATTTCAGCTCGATTTGTTAAGTCCGTCTTAAGCTAAAGGGTACCCAAAATACCCTTCCGTAAGTATGAGTTGTCTAATTCGAATTCGAATATAAACGAACATTAAGCTGCTTGATACAACTTTGAAAATAATCAATAAGATTTGAACCTTAATATTACTGCTCAATAGAAATAGATAGGGTTTCATCTATATTCGATCGAAACAAAAGCATTTCTGAAATGTTTCAATATCCAAATGCTTAAAATTAAAAGCTCTGCACATCCTCAAAATTTCATTGCAATTGGAAGTAATCAGGTGTTAAAAGCAGCGGCGTTGCATCAGAAAAACTATAGTAGAGATATAGAAAAATTCAATATTTTTCAAAGTCGATCGATTATTTCACCTTTAATAGAAACCCTGAGCACTCTATATTACTATGATTATAGTGTAAGTGCAGCTCAATTGAACACAGTATGCCACAATTTCGAGCAATTCAGCTTTTTTGAAAAATCTTGAGCACAAGAATGCTCTGAATAGCAGCACTAGCTTTTGTGCGATTGGAGTTCATTGACATTATATTTTACAGTCCGCTTTTTTCTAAGTTATGGTGGTATTTAGCATGGTTAGATGCGCCTTTTTATGAGAAATCTGGATATATCCTCGAATTTTATTTTCGACCTTGCTTTAGAGTAGAAATATGTTGAAAACTATTTCAGCAATTTTTCAAAAAAAACGGCTTTTTCAGTGTACATCGATTTGTTCTATTTCCAGTGTTTTGAGCTTATCTCGATCAAAACAAAAGCTTTTGAAAAAATTTTTTTATCGATATTCTTAGAATTTCGAACTCTACAAATCCTGAAATATTCATCAAAATTAGTCATCATTTCAGTATGGCGTTGTTAAGTTCATGTGTACTGACCCATACATAAAATAGTGCGAGGAGAAAAAAGTTGGATAAGTCTTCTTCAAAGGTTTGGAATTTGATTATTTCGAAATGCTTCAAAAAATGTACGATGATCGCGTCGTACTTGTTCACCATACATCTAAAATTCAAATTTTCGATTACTTATTAGCAGAAAAAGAAGAGAGTTAACATGCTTACCATGCCAAACTCTAGCATATCTTGAATAAATGCATCATCTTGTCCACGAACAGCATCACGAATTGTATGTTCAGTATCTCTTGGTATAATTGAAAATGGTAAACCTGTCACATCTTGTGGTGTATTTAAACAATCTGAGTCAGCTACACAATGAATTTTTGCTTAAAAGAAAATATCAGTTTTATTTTTCTAAATATAAAACAAAATAAATAAATCTTACCCATAGCACGTCCAAGATATTGAACTACTTCAACAATATCTTTAAAATCATTAATATCAGACCAACCAAGATCTTCTGAATGTGCTGTAACTGCATCAACAAGACATGGAATTGTACCTAATGTTGTATAACCTAACCATTTAGGTGTTGATGCTTGCATTGCATATGAACATAAAACTGTTCGTAA